CTGTCTTGGACCATCAGTCACACAGAGCTGTAAAAAGTCTTGATACCGCCACCATCTACTCATTAGCTTATCTGTAGGTTATAGGATGCAGCCTCTTGAATTGAATTAAGTTATTCTATGGTCGTAAGATAGAAATAGAATGATATGGTCTTTGTCAGAGGGATGACACGTTAAGTGGAATTCTGCAAGCCAAGAGCTTGTACTTGGGAGGAATTTAATACCCGGGAGTTATCCTTCTGACTGTTGGCTCAAGTAGTCTAGGTATGTGCAGCATGCCTTTCCGTGGCCACTCTAAGGCACTCACTCCTCTCTGCTGGAGGGCGGTACTTCTAGGCTCTCTCTGCAGCCTTCCTCTTTAACCAGGAGTTTCACCCAGCAACTCCGCTGCAGGTCCCTCTTCCCAAGCCCTTGTCACACTCAAGGAAATGCTCTCAGCAGCTATTGCTGCTAACTCGTCCTCTCCAGGCATCGGGGCCTGGCTGGTCAGTGTTACTCCTCCAGCTGCACCAGGGGCCCCCTAAGTGTCCCTGTGCCATGCTGCCACTTCTCCCTCCCGTTTGCTCCACTTCTGTACGTTGCTGCAATCAGCTTTTGAGTTTGCCTCCTAGTTCCGGCCCATTCCTTACTCCAGTTGGCCAAATCTAAGTCACCCAACACACATTTGTATTTCAAATGCCAGTTTATAGTGTAGCCACACCTACTGCCCGAGGACTGGCTGCTCCTAAACCCATTCTGTCCTCCAATGGCCACAACTGCCAGTAATTTAAAGCATCTTCTTTTGTGCAGACTCAAACCTGGGACGTTTTCTCCCTGGTTTTCAGTAGAATCCTTCACCCAGGCACGCAGGACTGGGGAACGCCGTTGTGGTGGCTACTGGAAACTGTCCCCTGGTTCCCATGCTGGCTCAGCCCAGAATTTTTTTTAAAAGTCTTCATTTCTTTTTTTTTTTTTTTATTTATTGGAGGAGGGAAGGAGCAGGAGGAGAGAGAGAGAGAAGAGAGAGAGATCGCTTCCAAATGCCAGCAATGTTCAAGACTGGGCCAGGCTGAAGCTGGGAGCTGGGAACCCAGTCTAGGTCTCCCATGTGGGTGGAGGTACCCGGCCACTTGAGCCATCACCTGCTGTGTGCATTAGCAAGAAGCTGGAGTTGGGAGTGGAGCCAAGACTGGAACCCAGGCACTCTGATAGGAGACACAGGTGTCTCCAGCAACCTCCTAACCACTGGGCCAAGTGTGCGGCCACTAGATTGCTCTTTCACAGCATAGCTGGGAGATGGCACCCAGAAGCAATGCTACTCCCAGGCGCCAATTGCCCATGACTTTGTGGCCAGCAGTGAGCAATGTGGGAGAGGCAAGGCAGGCGTGTCGGCGTCCTCGGCTGCAGCTTACGACAGACAAGAGTCCTAGAGGCTCCGCTGCAGGTCCTGACACTCACGGTCACAGTTCACGAGATGTGAGAGGGGACAGTCCTTCCTGCCAGCTCCCTGTGCCCTAAAGCTCTCCTCAGAGAGCTCAGCGTCTCTCCCTGGGTGGGTCTGAGACATCTCAGGGGTCCCTGACATGGAATCAAAGCACCCAGCTCTCCCTAATCTCTTTCCTCCTCCCCGCCTTCCTTGTCTCCCTTCTTCCCTCTCTCTCTACCCCACTTTCCCTTTCTTTTTTCCTCCTTACTTTTTGGAACTGCTTTTCTCTCATGATCATATTTCCATCCCTCTGCCGTTAAGTGCAGGAACATTTTACAACACAGATGCTCACCTCAAACCCCACCGCCTTCTGCTTCCAGGCGTCTCCCACCAAAATGCCCAGCTTCTGAAACCGCGTGCTGTGGATCTTGTATCAGACCACCTTCTACACATGGAGGGATTCCAGATACCTGTCTGAATGGGAGTCCCTGGTGTGTGTCTTTGGCATTCTTCCTGGTTTTCAGTATTTGGTGCTCAAAGGTATTCATTATTTCCAGCAGGACTGACACTAGCATGGTGGGAACGGTGCAGCCAGGCAGGGACTGTCAAGAGGCAGCAGGAGCTCACTTAGTATGTCCTACATCTCCCAGCTCCCTGGGCCATGTGGCGAGGGCTGGCCAGTGCACTCTGAGTGGGAGGGACATGTGTCACCTCCAGGAAGGTGCAGTGAAGAGCCGTGGTGCCTTCTTTAAGCTTTTCTCCTCCTACTCCGGCCACTTTGAAGAGTGTAGCACCAAGGAGGCTGCTCCTCCCACTGTGGGCTTCAGTGGGCAGGAAGCAGACTTCTGTGGGGTTAGGCCCTGGGATGTTTGTATTTGTCAGCTGAAGCAGGTGACAGTAACTCCTCTGGTTAATAAAGGCCCTGAAACTCTAATTCCTGTTACATATTAGGCATGAAAAGATATTTGTGGACTACACGGTTGGATGAGCAAACGAATCAATTTCAGGCAGGGGAAGAACAAGATCTTTTTTCTACCTAGAGCCATGATGGCAAAAATTTAGTGCAAAGGCGATCTACTGTCTGGAGGGTGGGGGTGGGACCCTTGACTTGTTTTAGTTCACATGGCTTGAATACACACTTAAGACAGAATATTCTTTGTTTCTATTTAGTTTATCAACCATTGGCTGAATATTCACTCTCCCAGCTCTTATGCTGGGAACCGGGTTAGCTATTGTGACCGCGCTGGTGGGAACTGAGTATCACTGGAACAGCTAAAGTTCAGATGAGACAGAACTCCCTAGTAACCCCACCCTCATTCCCCCTCTCACTCTTCCCACTGTTTAACCCCTTTCCTCCTGGCACTCCACACACCTGTGTCCTAGCCCCACGCCGCCACATGGTAGTTTTGCTTTGATAGTCATGCACACGCCTGTCCCCTCCCCTGGGCTTTGCAGCTGCAGACAAGGCCCCTTGTAGGTATGCGGCCAGACTTCTCAGACTTGTGAGCCATGCACAAAGTTCAAGCAAACATGCTACTGCTGTGAGTGCTCTGGGTTTGGTACAGACATTTGTGGAGGCTTATCCAATTTGGGGGTGTGAGGAGGCTTTGGGGGAAGATTTGCAGAGAGGGTGGTTGATTGATAAAGGCCCTGAACCTCTAGTTCCTGTTGCTCAGTAGGTATGAAAAGAAATTTGTGGGATTTATGGCAGGATGAATAAATGGATCTGTCTGAAACAGGGGCTTTGGGAACAGCGGTGTCCAAGACCAAGCCCAGAACATAGTATGAGGAGAGGCAAAGACGTTGGAGGGGAAAGAGGCCTGGTAAGAGGCAGGTGAGGGAAGCCGCAGGGTGCTGTGTGCCCTTGGTTAAGCAGTGAGTGGGGAGTCATGGTCGGGATATTTGGGTTTTGAAGTACCTAGGGAGATGCACTAGGAACTGGTGACTGGAAGACTCCCCCGACTCCATGCCGCTGTCAAAGGAGCAAACAGAGGTAAAGGAGAGAAACCAGATGGAGAAAGGTTCAGAGTGGGGCGTGGTGGAAACACATGGTCTTAATTTTGCTGTCGGTGACCCAGAGAGGACAGAACTTGACAACGACAAGATCAAGGGAAGATTTTTGCAGGGGATTAGGACATCAGCATAAATCAGCCGAGGAGGTGACAGGGGTCAGAAGGAGAGTGGCTGACCACCAGGGCCCTGTCCAAGACAGGATGGCGCAGGGCCTTCGGATGGCTGGTGGGGTGGGGCGGTAGATCTTGCTCTGTGAAGCAGAGCTATCAAGGGTGACAGGAGAGATTCCGAGAGGGGCTGTGAGGGTGCGATCCCTTAGTAGAAGAGCAGGGACAAGTTAGAGAGTGCAGGCAATGGGGTTTGGCCATTTAGGAGAGTGGTATATTGGGGTCCCCAAGTGTGGCAACTGATCCATAGTGATCCAGAGACGGACACTGTGCGTGCGTGGGACCCTGGGAAGTGGTCCTGAGAATCCTCATCCTCTGGGCTCCCTCTCCTCTGGTAGGCTTTACCTCCCTCACTTCCCTACGTGGGTCTTGGCGTGGAGTCAGGATGTCTGTTGGTCCCACAATGAGGGACTTTGCAAAATGGAATAAATAACCCCCTTCTCTGACTCTGATACTTATCTTCTACTTCCTTCTGAAAAAGGAAGATGAATGAGTTGAGTCACTTTTCACAATTTCAAGGACTCCGCAGCCTCTTGACAATTTCTTGCAAATGTGTTTTGCAAATTCCTATTTGCGAGGCATTTGCTTCAGAGAGGCAGAATCTAGCATCCCTCCTCTTTTGATACCACACTCCCATCTTGCTCACCCCTCAGAGCCTCTGATTGCTTGATAGATTATTTTCATTTTTTGGTTTTAAGGAAACCACAATAAACAGCAGGCAGGTAGGCTGTGCTATTTTAAACAATTATCTGGATTCAAAGGCAGGGGTTTAACTTATTTCATCTTCTAGGGTGACAGGATGTCACATTTGTAATTATATTTGTATTATGACATTATTATAATGTTGTAATTACAGCTGTGTAATTATATTCCAACACACAGAGGACAGCAGACCTTTTCAACAAAAATAGAGAAAAAGGATCTTTATAATTTAACAGCCATGTGATTTCTTTTTGGCACCTACAGAGACTCCAACTTTTCAAAGAGCAAATTTAATTGCATCAAAATGAAATGAAATTAGCTCCCAATAAACTTTTCCAGCTATAAAAAAAAAATGCACCCCTCCCCTTACCCCCAGGTGTGTGGAGGGAAGTTCAAGTCACACACCACGCAGAGATGCACACAAGGGATTTTCTCCTTGAGAAACATGGTATTAGGAGCGTGCCCCGCGCTGTGGACCCATTCTCCCTCCCACCCCGCCTGCCTCCTTCCTGGCAATGCCTGGCGCTTGGGTTCGCCTTCTCTGATTTCTCGCCTGCGGGACTTTTGCTCTTTTTGACAAGGCGCCAACCTCTCCTGTTATTCACACCTTTGATTCCGCATCGGAGCTGCCAGGGTCACGCCCAGAGGCAGGAGCGCAGCCCAGGCCCTTCCTGCGTGCTCGCCCGGTCCTGCCCCAGGGCGCGCCCGGTGCCTACCTGGGAGGCCCAGGATGGTGAAGTAGGGCCGGCACTCGGTGAACCCGGAGCTCTGCCTCACGCAGCTCCTCCAGAGCCCTTCGTACTGGAACACGGAGGTGACAGGGTTGTCGTACAGGTCCTGGGTGCTCCACGTGTCCATGCCCGTGGCGGCGATGCAGCCCGCCAGCCCCAGGGCGGCCAGGAGGAAGCCCACCACTTGGTACGCGGTGGTGGACATGGCCTCAGCCGCCCTGCAGCCGCCAAGGTGTGCGCCCGGCGCGCCCGAGGGGAGCGCGGCTAATCAGACAGTTTGCCTTGGCTTCGGGTGTTTGCTCACAATGTTTTCCTTAGATAGTTCAGTTTCACTCGTGGTTCAAGGGCATTATTTTTTCATTTGTCAGGGAAGCGGCCCCAAGAGGCACTTGTCCTCTGGTTGGTGCTGCGCCGCCTGGGTGGGCAGAAGGGCGCCTCCCTCCAGGCCGGCCCAGCTCCACCCATCGCCTCCCTGAGCGCGCACCACCATCCTGGGGAAAGGGTGCCGGTTCCACCACTGCCGGGGTCATCACGCGAGACCCATGCCCAGACACGTGCAGGGGCAGGCAAGGATGTCTCCATGTTGGAAAACAGGAAGCAACTCCTAGAGTTACACTGCTCTTGGTCCACAGGCATTGGAACTGGAGTGAGAAGGAGCCAGGGATCCCATGGACCTCCATCTCACACCCTGACACGTGCCATGGGGCCACGTGCCACAGGGCCACATGAGGATCATGTGGCAGACACAGGAGGTTCCAGGAAGGCCAGAGGAGGGAACTTCCTTTTTCTCCAAGGCTTTGTAAAAGCTCCTCTGTCTTGTGTTAAATTCATGCCTATGTGTTTCCAGTTTTAGATTTTGTTCCACTAATCTGTTCACCCTGATGCCAAAGCACCATGTTAATGACCAAGCTTGAACATTTGGGTGAGATGCGGGCTTTTGGCCTGGTGAGTAAGAGGCTGGTTGCTGGACACCCGCCTTCCCCCTGGGAGTGCCTGCCTTTGAATCCCAGCTCCTGCTCCTCACTCCCAGCTAATCACAGCACAGACCCTGATGGCTCCCACCATGCGGGAGACCTTGATGGAGCTTCCACCTTGCACCTCCCAGCATCGGCACAGCCCAGCCCCAGCCCCAGCCCCAGCGATAGAGGGCATCAGGAGAGTGTACAAGTAGATGGGAGTCTCTCTCTCTCTCTCTCTCTCTCTCTCTCTCTCTCCCTTTTATAAATACATAAACAAATGAAGTCTCCCTGAAGATCTGGCAGAGCTAGCCCACCACGTCATCGTGCCTTGCTCCTGACACTGCCACCGACACCCTGTGTGCTGGAGGATTCGAGCCATCTCCCAAGCCCTGGGAGGTCCCAGTGTCTTCATCTGGGACGCGTGGTGACTCCATGGCAGCACTTCAGAGCCCTCCCAGAGTCCCCGCACTATCAGCACCCACACGTTGCAGGAAGCTGTCACCGCAGTCGGCAGATCATGGTAAAGCGAGGCATGGCTGTGGAGATCAGGTGCTGTGTTTTTGTCTTGCCAGCTCCATTTCGGGAGAGAATTGATGGATCTGCTGCTTCCTGAGGGTCGTGTGTGTCTGGCTTCTGAATCCAGAGCCACTTCAATTAGACCTTCTCAAATCTGTATGTGCAGGTGCTGAAACACACACCTACCCCCCACCCCTGCCCTACATGCTCACTACGATCTCTCAGCACTGCGCGTTCTCCAGGAAATGAGCCGTGCGCCCGTACATTTCAATGTTATCTGGGCTGCACCCAGCCAGTGCTGCTACACCTTTATTCTCAGCAAACACAGAAGGCAAATAGGCAAGGCCTCCCCCTGACTTGGATGGAGGCAGCACTCCCCTTGACTGCCCACCGTACGTTAGATTCTGTGATTATTTTCGTGGAGAATGGAGCACGGGCTAGAAATCCCGACACAAGGCCGGAAGCAACCGTTGGAAGACCCCAGGTGCCATAGTGTTGATGCCTGTGCATCCCCTGAGTAGAGCTAAAGGCTGAGTCTATCTGAAAGGTGGGAGGCACTGAAGAAGTGGCGCTGCTCCCTGCTGGTGGACAGGAATTGACTGTTAGATGGGACAGTGTTGTTGAAAGGATTCAGGAATGATTCTGCCACTGTTTCTCCAGACAGAGCACATCTTACTCTTGTTTCAACTGAGAGGCACTTTTTTTGTTTTTTAATTTCTTAAAGAACTCCATCAGTTTGGCTTTTAACTCTTCAGTTTTTTTTTTTTTTTGACAAATTTAGACAGTGTGAGAGAGAGAGACAGAGAGAAAGGTCTTTCTTCCGTTGGTTCACCCCCCAAATGGCTGCCACGGCCAGCACTGCGCTGAAACGAAGCCAGGAGCCAGGTGCTTCCTCCTGGTCTCCCATGCGGGTGCAGGTGCCCAAGCACTTGGGCCATCCTCCACTGCCTTCCTGGGCCACAGTAGAGAGCTGGACTGGAAGAGGAGCAACCGGGACTAGAACTCGGCGCCCATGTGGGATGCTGGTGCCGTGGCACCGCAGGTGGAGGATTAACCAAGTAAGCCAAGGGGCTGGCCCCTAACTCTTCAGTTAATGATGTTTATCTAACACCCCCTTGTACTTCGGTTAGAATGCCAACAATATAATAGATTGAGAATACAAAAATAAAAGAATAGGTTGTTTTGAGTCTGTTCTCACAACAGTTTCATCACCCACTTCTTGCAAATTTTTTTAATGCAAAATTTCAAACGAGAGAAGAAAAGTATTTAGGTGATAATGAATTTTTCCTTTCTTGGTTGAAATGGTGACAGTGTCTTTAATCTTAAGTTCATATTCAAGGATAAGCTAAAATTATTCATCTAGGGAGAACACCGAATGAGGGGAGAGAAATTGCATGTCTGTACACTTCTTGTTGTACAACAAAGACTGACGTGTTCACCTGGAAGATGTGAGTTTTCACTTCCGGGTGAGTTTCCTGCCCACTCTGAAATGTGTGGGCCACTACTTTAGTTGTCTCTGGCAGGGAATGAAGAGGATCCCCAGAGGAAAAGCCAACTTCCTTGTTCGTGGCAACAGGCCTTATTGAGATATATCAAATAGAGCCCTTTGGGCCAGTCCTGCTCTCACTCTGCTTGACAGCAGTAGGGCTGAACTTTGTTTAATCAGCTACAAAATGGAGCAAACATTTTTTTTGCTGTCTTCCTAGGAGAAATCTCTACATTCAGGTTTGCACATGGCTCAGAAAGTGTCACTTCAGATGGTAAGTTTCCAGGAGCTTATGACTTTTTAGGAATACGAGTATGATATGAGTATGATTATTTATGATAATTAGGCAAGATGGTGACCCAAATGCCAATTATAAAATATTATAGCTAGAAATTATGGAGGAAGATGATTAGTATACAAACAGAAAAAATCATTGACACATCTATTAGTTTTTTTTCTTTCAAAGTATTACTACATTATACACTCTTAATTTCTGACTCTGCCTTCTGGTGTTCATAATAGAAAATTTCAATGATTACTTAGTCATAGTCATAGTCATTTAGTCTTACTTCTAAATCCTACCTAAAACATTTGGCATACTTCTTCACCAGTTTCCTGCATATATTTTTACACGGTCAGGGAACTGTAGAGTCAGTTTTCTGTTCTACTCTTCTCACCCAATCGTATTCGTGTTATAAAAGCTCATGTAGCCATCATTTCACAGGACTGTGCTGTATTCTAGTACACAGAAGTGCTCTTATTCATCTACATGGTGTCTGTTTTTATCTAGTTACATGGTACCATCTCCTAGGTTTTTAATTTCTTGTAATAAAGGCATTGTTCTGACATTTTACACATATTTTGTTGTCAGTATTTCTAATTACTCTTTTAGGACAGGTTACTAGGAGTGGAATTAAACTGTCTAAGGTTGGGGAGTTTCGGGGCTGGCACTGTGGTGCAGTGGGTTAAAGCCCTGGCCTGAAGCGCCGGCAACCCATATGGGTGCCGGTTCTAGTCCCGGATGCTCCTCTTCCAATCCAGCTCTTTGCTATGGCCTGGGATAGCAGTGGAGGATGGCCCAAGTCCTTGGGCCCCTGCACCTGTGTGGGAGACCAGAAGAAGCTCCTGGCTCTTGGCTTCAGATTGGCGCAGCTCTGGCTGTTCCATCCAACTGGGGAGTGAACCAGCAGATGGAAGGCCTCTCTCTCTGTCTCTACCTCTCTCTGTAACTCTTTCAAATAAATAAAATAAATCTTTAAAAAAAATTGTAAAGTTTCAAAAAAATCTTTTTTTTTTTTTACATAGAACCACATTTCTTTCTATGAGCTTTATTCCTAACAGCTGTATTATAAAGATCTTATTTCACTTTAACTGAAAAGTGATCCCTGTTAAGTATAAGAGTGGGAATAAGAGAGGGAGGAGATGTACAATTTGGGACATGCTCAATCGGACTTGCCCCAAATGGTGGAGTTAGAAATGTGCCAGGGGATTCCAATACAATCCCATCAAGATTGCATGTACCAATGCCATCTCACTAGTCAAAGTGATCAATTTCAGTTCACAATTGATCACACTGATAGGTCTATGAGTCAAAGGGATCACACAAACAAGACTAGTGTCTGCAAATACCAACTGATAGAATCAAAAAGGGAGAGAATGATCCAACATGGGAAGCAGGATACACAGCAGACTCATAGAATGGCAGATGTCCTAAACAGCACTCTGGCCTCAGAATCAGCCCTTAAGGCACTCGGATCTGGCTGAAGAGCCCATGAGAGTATTTTAAGCATGGAAAGCCAAGACACTCTGGCAAAAAAACAAACAAACAAACAAAACAAAAAACAAAAAACAAAAAAACAAAACCTAAATGAAAGATCTCTGTGAGTGAGACCCCAGTAGAAAGAATGGGTCATCAAAGAAGGAGGTACCTTTCTCTGAAGGGAGGAGAGAACTTCCACTTTGACTATGACCTTGTTTAAATAAGATCGAAGTCAGCGAACTCAAGAGGCTTCCATAGCCTTGGCAACTCATGACTAGAGCCTAGGGAGATTTCTGACGCCATAAACAAGAGTGTCAAATTGTTAAGTCAACAACAGGAGTCACTGTGTACTTACTCCTCATGTAGGATCTCTGTCCTTAATGTGTTGTCCAATGTGAATTAATGCTATAACTATTACTCAAACAGTATTTTACACTTTATGTTCTGTGTGGGTGCAAACTGATGAAATCTTTACTTAATATATACTGAATCGATCTTCTGTATATAAAGATAATTGAAAATGAATCTTGATGTGAATGGAATGGGGGAGGGAGCGGGAGATGGAAGGGGTGTGGGTGGGAGGGAAGTTATGGGGGGGAAAGCCATTGTAATCCATAA